AAACCAATGGTATCAATAATTATATATCTCAATATTCAACAATAATTAACCTTCCTTAATATCACATCTGTTTTTGATGCTTAATTATTATATATCATAGAGTTATATATCACACTGTTATCTTATACAAATAGATGTCTCTCAATTGTGTCAGTTATACAGGTATTCCACTCTAGCAATTAGTTTCTCTCTATGTATATATATATATCAGCTTATGTCACCATTGGTTTTCTTGCATCAGACTTCACGGTTCAAATTTATAATCCGCTAGGTGTCGCCCTCTCCTCAGTATCACTGTTAGTGTCAACCAGTTAATACAACAAGTCCAGCGGCAAAGGGAAATAAAGGGGGGTGGGTAAAGACGCCCTCTGATCGTTCCAAAACAGTTCTCTCTCCCTACTGTCTCTGGTACCATTCCAATTTCCAAGGCGAATAAATACCAAATACTTGTAAGTTCAACTATTCTTTGGGAAAAGCAAAACAGTAGAAGGAAGAGCAAGAAGAAAAAAAGTCAACAACCAACCCGACTGTTAAACAATCCTTTCTGTGCCTTCCAGGTCTTCTCAGCAGTTACTGTGTTCTACTCCCTGTTGTCCATGCCGGGTTTTCGTTCTCACTGTAGCCAATTTCCTTCAAGTTATTCAGGCTGTCAATTCCAACTCAGTGTCTCTCTGCTCTCACTCCTTTTCGGCAAAAAGAATCTGAACTGCAAAAACAGTCTCCTTCCCAGAGCCTCTTTCTTTCCAGCTCACCCTCTCTGCCAATTTCGCCTTCTCCTCCTCTTCTTTGGGTTGTCAATAATAGTAACAGATGTCTCGATTCCAACTGCTTTCTCTCTCTGCTTCCTTCTTATGCGGTCGCCATCGCTCCAGTCCTAACCAAGTGGCAGGATAGATCCTCGTCCGTTTAGTGGGTTTCTCCTATCCACTGGGGTATTAGCCTTATCACCCCAGCATCTTCAGAGCTTCCCCCTTAATCCGCTGGTCCCTTCAGGATCCACAGCGCTCAGAAATGAGCCCAAACGAAGAAGTTAAGAGTTAGAGGTTAGGAGAGCTCCCCTTCCTCAGCTCCAAGCACGATGACGTCACCACAGGAAGTCCTCACCTAAACAGGTTTTTTTAAAACAAACCTTTGCATCCACATTTGTTCCTACAGTCCAGGAGTCTGATCAGATTCTGTTAATCAGAGCCTGTGCATTATCCCAGATGCAATTCCAAAAGGCGTTTCAGAACACTCAGAGGCTCAACTTATTTTAGGAAAAGTCATAGTTGCTTTAAGGAGTTTGATGCCATGTTTGTAGATCCATATTCTAAAGCAACTTTTGTAGACCAAACCCTTCAAAGCATTGCACAATTCACCTGCTAAATTATATTCTTTCTGCCACTAACCCAGTATGTTCTGAACAAGTTTTTGTTTTGTTTTTTTTAATTATGTAAATCTCCCTATTTGCACCATTTTTCAATTTAGCTGAAATGTTGGGAGCGGACTGATATGGGTTGCAGTCTTGTAGGAATTTATTTCTAGTTCTTAAGTTTATACTTTCAATTTTATTTTATTTTTTTCCATGCTTGAAGTAAAACATGTTTTGCAGCCTGTATAAATGTTTAAATCAATATTGTCATTTTTGGGAAGCCAGTTACTTCATAGACATCTTAAAAGTAGTTTATTTAAAATTTTAGAATTATGTGCTAATGTTGTTTATTTTGAAGCTCTGATTATATTTAGAGTTTTATAAAATTTCATTTTCTGTTTATTTTGCATAGACAATCCTTTGAAATGAAGATGGAGTATACATTTTTATTAAAATAAATAATCTTCTATCATATCATGCTAGGTGTTTCGGTTAGAAGGTCAAGTTGTTCGCTATAAAACAGCTGCAGAAAATGCCGAAAGAATAGAGGATGAATTGAAAGCAGAGAAACGTAAGCTCCAAAGAGAGGTAACCTACATTACTATATACTTTTGAATTAAGAAAAAGGGTTGAATTAAAAAAAAGTAAAAATTTAATATGAGTAATAGGACTCTAGATTAATCATTTCTTTATTAAATGAAAACCTTTACAGCCTCTACCCATGAATAATGTCCCTGAAATTACCTTCTGCAGATTGGAGTGTTTTATATTTCCTTCCTGCTTGTGCCAAAGGAGTAAAAGAAAGCCTTTTTCAGACACTAATTAAATAAAGAAGATAAAGCAAGTTGCTATAACTTGCTTACTAAAAAGGGGAATGGAATCCATTAGTTTTCACTTGTGGTTCTGGAAAGCAAAACAAAATTGAAGAAAAAACAGAATGAAAAATAAATATTGCCCAAAGTTTTATAATATGCACCCAATTAATGAATGAAACACTGAAATTACAGCTGAATTTAATGCTACACAATTTACTAATAATCACAGATAATTAGTTCCTTTTCTATGCAGGATGATTATTCAGGAAAAGCTATTAGCTTTTAACAACTTGATTTTCAAGATGATAAATTCAAATAACAGACAAAACATTTTAACACCTGCATTCATTGATCAGGGTGGTGGTGCAGGGGCTCAGCGATTAAGACGCTGGGCTTGTTGGCTGCTCAGATCCGAGACTCAAACACCAGGCCACAAGCTGAGCTCCTGCCAACCTAGCAATTTGAAAGCATGCAAATGGAAGTAGATAAAAAGGCACCACTTTGGTGGGGAGGTAACAGTGCTCCATAACAGTCACATAACAGAAAGGTCTATGGATAGCGCTGGCTCGATGGCCTTGCGATGGAGATGAGCGCTGCTGCCCCTTGCAGTTGGCAACGACTAGCGAAGTAAAATCCACAGGGACTCATCTACCTTGTTTTATTCATTAATTAAACAGTTTTGTAATTTGTCTAATATGTATAATTTTGGCTCCTTTAAGAATTAAAGAAATATTTGTTCATAAAGAAAACCAACTCTAGATTTAAACACAAACTAAAAAAAATCTTAAAGTTTAGGAATCAATGTATCTGTGTACACCTTAAAGAATTTATCTAAGCTTGGCATTTTGCCTTTCCTATAAGTGATATTTCTATTTTCTCCATCTTAATTTCTTCAGAAAGTACCGTATTTTTCACACTATAGAACACACTGGACCATAAGACGCACATTGGCTTTAGAGGAATAAGAAAAATAAAATCTGCCCCTCTGCCTTCCAGGATCCATCTGGTATTCCTCTGGCCAGTCTCCTTGCAGCAAACAGCCTGGTCAGCTTCAACACATTATTGCAGCCCCAGCACATGTGGCTCCTCAGGGCACCGCTCTGTTGTGCTCACCACCAGTCAACTGAGCTGAGCTGGCGCTGCCAGGGAACACTGGAGCCTTTGCTGCTGAGCAGCTGATTGGTGGTTGCATCGGCCTCCTGGAATATTGCCAATCAGCCGTTGTACGCAGCGGCAATTGTCACTGCCGTTTGTCACTGCCCATCACTGCTGCCTACCGCTGTTGTTCACTGCCACCTATTGTCACCGCTGTCACTCAGTGGAAATTGGCAGCAGCAGCAGCGAATGGCGCCGATTGGCAGCAGTGGAATCGCTGATTGGCAGTATTTCGAGAGGCCAATCCAACCATTAATCAGCTGCTCAACAGCAAAGCCTCCAGTGTTCCATGGCGGCGGCAGCAGCGATAGGCGGTGCTGCCGCACCAACCTCATCCCCCCACCACACTATTCGCTCTATTTCCACCCACTTTTTGCAGGGGAAAAGTGCATCTTATAGTGCAAAAAAATATGGTAATTTTTTGTGACTATACCAGCACATAGATTTTAACAAAGGAATATATATATATATATATATATATAT